TATATATATATATGTATATAATAGTGCAATAGTAAAATCAAGGGTAAGAATATGTTTGAAAAAAGAAAAAGAATGACACTATATTCAGGGAAGTGTCAGGGTAGAAAAAGTCTTTTGACAGTTGTTACATAATTAGCAGAGCATCTCTTTAATGGTGACACAGGATATATATTTAATAACTACAGTCTGTTCTACTTTTTCCTAGGAAACCTCCATTAAATGGGTTCCTGGAAGATAAGACTGAGACCAGAGAGTTCCTGAAAATGTAAAATTGGACATTTCAGAAATAGCAGCCTATTGTACCAAAGGTACAAATGTAAAAGATATAAAAGATGGAAGCTTCAATCTTTTCACATAACAGATACACTGGGATGGATTTTGTGACCTACTCAGGAACAAGGAAAGTTTTGAAAACCTGCTTTGTTTCATCACCTGCCTCTCTCTTGATAAAGAAAGAATGTGTAAAGGAACATTTTATATTTACCTATTAATTTCCTTTGTCTTTTCCAGTTTTAGGCCCAAACTGGTATCATTCTTCCAGTATTTTATTAATTTTCTGCACAAAAGTAGTCTCAATTTTAAAATTAACATAGGGAGACTTAATTATTACAACTGTTCCTATTTCTCCAACTTTTATAATCAGAAATAATAATGTTGCTTCTCATATTCCAATACCTACCAATCCAGGTAAGGCTACAGCACAACTCTCCTTATAGGAGGCCATATCTGACTGGGTTCTAATCCAACTCACAATATCTTTCTGCATTATATCAAAAGCTTTGATCTCAGCTCACTGCAAAATCTGAACAACAAAACCCAAACAGACTGCTACTGTAATAGTAGTTACAATGTATTTTACATGATACTACCTAAATGCTTTTTGCTAAATTTAAAAGATTTTGCAGTAGCTGAAGTAAACAAGGATTTAAAGTTATTTTTTCTGGTCCATGTCTTACCTATCTTTCACATGGATAATAAAATAGTGGTATCCTTCTTCCCTCTACACCATGGAAATCCAGGTACCATCGTCAGTGAATCCTCTCAAGAGGGAAAGATAAACACCTTGAAATTCACAAGTCCATGAGTGCATGGCTTGTCAAATCCTAATTTAGACACATCCAGAAAACAAACCCCCAAACTATAAAAACCCTCTGCAGGCTTTTTTTGATGTTTTTTTGTTTTGTTTTGGGGTTTTTCTTTTAACCCTGGAACGCTGGTTTTTATACTAAGCAAAAAATTCCAAAGTTCACTTTAAAAAAATCTATCCCATAGCTGTGCTACAAGGGAAGAAACACTTTGGTCTGATATCCATATTAACATCTGTGAGAACTGCTTCCTGATAGATCAACAACATTTGTGTCATAAACTGATATTCTGGATGTATAGAAAATAATTGCTATTTACTGGTTTCCCATTGATGCAAGTGTGAGAATGTGAACAGGAAGAGCTGTGGGTGTGGCAGTAAAAGATAACACAGCTGGTGTAAAGTTTATCTTTTGATGTGCCATTTTGGAGCTGCTTTTCCTGCAAACCCCCTACAAACAGGCATGGTGTCATTATCATCCTTGGGCCCAAGGTGTGTTCACTACAACTGGTGAAGAAACAAACTGATTAACACATTTGTTTTAAAAGGTGGTAATTAGTAGTGGTATTTTCAGTTAAGACAGGGTTCACTTCAATGTGTAAGTTACAGCACTTCCCAGAGCTTTCTTTGGGAGGCAAATCTCCTTTTATGCCACTTTTAGTTTTCTCTTCTGCTTTTCAGCATCATGATCTCACCAGATAAACACGAACTTGCACAAACATACACACACACACACAGAATAAATTAAGTTTCATTGAACACAAAGGAAATAGTAATAGAAAAACTACATTAATTATTTTATTATTAATATAATATTTTTTATTTTCTAAACAAATTAGAGTGTACAATGTAATACAGAGAAATTCTTGACCATATAGGTCAAGATAATATGCCTTTCAGTCACGAGGCACATTATCTTACTCAAAATAGAGGTAATGGACAGAGAAGAGAAAATTACAAGTCCAAGCTTCCCTCAAGAGGTAAAAATTCATGTGGACAATTGATAACTTTGAGAAAAGACAAAGAACTATTTCCTGTTATATCTGTAAATTGTATCCAACTTAGGAGTAAAGTTTATGTTTCTTAAAATATTTTTGTGTTTTCAAATAGTTTTCTTTCAGTTTTATTTGTATTTTTTGTTGGTTTTTTTTCTTTTAATCCTGCGCTACTTTTTTTTTTTACTTCTTGTATTTTGCATACCAGCTATCAAATTCTAGTCTTGTTGAAAGCAGAGGAAATACTTCTACTGACTAAGTCAAGGAGAAACCTGTCAGTTTTCTTAAAGTTTTCTGAAAAACCTTTTCTTCCATACCATGCAAAATTCTTTGTAAGTGAACTGAAAAAAATTGCATTCAGTGTATAATAATAATGACAGAAAATAAAATATCCCATGTCTCTGAGCAGGAGGGTTTTCCAGTTCAGGTTTTATACATGTCTAAGAAATCAGAATAATAACTGTATTTTTCTTTGTGTCACTAGAAAAATAGAAATATGTTGAACAAGAATGCCGCATGGTTGTATTTCGTTTATGAAACAGATAAGGAGGAAACTGTAATTGTAGATCTGCATTTGAATTTAAGACATTGTGTGACTTGAGAATGAATGAGACGAAACAATGAAGTGATAAATTTTCTATATTCACTTACCTACTGAATTGAAGTCTTAAAATTGAGACATATTTTGTAAGGCAAACTGAAAAAATGGGAAAAATGTCTTTCAGGGACTAAAATAGGATTGCCTGGGGATCTATGAATGATGTCAATTTGGACCTAGTTTTTCAATAAAAACTTGGCAAGTATTTAATCATTCTTGTACTTCAATGGTGTTAGTGTTCAGTTAGTGAAGTGTTTAGCTCTGCTAACTGGCACTGGAAAAGGACCACTTTGAACTATAAACTATGAAAAGAGGTTGGACTTTACAAATTTTTTTATGAGATCTCTGTTGGTACACAAAGACAGCAAGGACTGATGTCGTCAGATAAATTTTCTGTTCTTCCACCCAGCAGAAGTAAGGAAAGATCTATTCCAGTAATTCAAAAAGACCACTCAGTAGTCTTGTTTAGGAGGAAAATCAGCCCAAGAGGAAAAGTCTGGAGGGAGTTTCCACTGAAGCTACTCCAAAGCCCACTGCTTGCTTTCCACTCTCATTCCATTCATTGGTTTTCCTCACAGCCTAGACTCCTGCACAGTGGTTTCAGTGCCATCCAAAAATCTCAGCATTTGCATCTGCAGAGCAGAAGCTGCAAGCACAAACTGAGTGGGTTATAACCAGAACTGGTGACTGTGAAATAATTTTCTGTACAAAATCTCTTCATCCCCTTCCCAATGGAAAACTACTCATTTTTTCTTTTCTCTCTCTCCTTCTCTTTGCCTATCTCTTTCTCACTCTGCAACCTCTGATCTTTATTGATATGCTCTAGCAAATACACAGTTCTATTGCAATGTTTGATATGACACAGTTTTAGGCAGTTGAGAATTTTCTGCTTTCAAGGTTACAGCACAAGTTTCTAAAACACACGAAGGAGAAAAACAGTGGTTCTCTGTTGCTACTAAGGAGCAGTCTATGGGTTTGTGTTTTGCCAGTGGCAAGCTTCTCACAATGCAGATATTCTGATTCCCTCTAAATTGACTTGACAGATTGCTTTTATTTCATGTGCTGGAATTTTTTGTTTGTTTGTTTGTTTTTTGTTTTCACAGATCTGACTTAGACCAGGACATCATCTCTCATGAATATTTCCCTGTAACATCAGATAGCATAGGTAATACACTGGAGTGGAAAGGAGGGAGACAGAGAAGTGGGGAGGTTTTCAAGAATATATTTTTCTTCACTGAGGCATGATATCTGTTTCCTCTTTGCATTTACTGATCGTTACCAAACTTTGAATGCTACATCTTTGTTCCTGACCTATAGAATATTCTATTGTGTAATATTAAGATTTAATGCCATAAGAGGTTGGGATACTCACTTTTTTCCTTAGTAAAACAAAGCAAGGCATCTCATAAGGAAACCAGGTGAAAATTGCACACCACACTTCCTTATCACATTCTGCACCAATACATGTATCACAGAATAGCTATTTTAGGTACAGATTGTTCCATATGTTACAGAGTATTACATTTTGGATTGTACATTTCTATCCCTTATTTCGAGGAAAAACTGGGAAAGATAACATGGACTTGTAATATTTCTGAGTGGTTTTTGTTGTGGGGTTTTTGGTGGTGTTTTTAGAGATATAGAAAATTCTATTTGGTTTTAGTCTGCTTGGTGTGTACCCACAAAATGAATCATTACCAAAATATATGGTGATTTTATGATCGATAACACAGTCAAGCATAATTCCCACTGTAATCAGCACCTTTAAAATTTACTGCTTCACATTACATCTCTGCAGTGTGACAGTATTTAAATAGCAAAAAAAATTATATACAATAAGTATATACATACATATATATATACATATACATACACACACACACACACAAACACATATATATATATACTTAAAAGTACAGGAAGGTTTTATTTTTAAGTGTCATTTTACATGCTTTTTAAAATCCTTTCTATTAATTGAATTTTTCAGTACAAAAAATGTTTTGGGATGAAATAAGGAATATTTCTTCCTGAAAATTTGATACAATAAGAAATGAGTTTTTTTTAAATCTTATTTTGAAATTCCTTGTGGCTAGTTCTCATTTCTAAATGAACTATTTAACCCATGGACAAGAGATATGAAGTCTTAACTTACCCAAATCCTTCTACATTACAAGACTTGAAAATTATAGCTCATCTATTTTCAGAAGACATTTCTTATTCACATTTCAGACAAAATTCAGATTTTATTTAAAGATTTAAAGAACTTTCCATTTCCAAGGGTTTCTCTCCTAATTTATAATGACCATATCTCCTTTCTCTCCTAATTTATAATGACCATATCTCCTAGTGAAAGTGGTTACCTTTTTATATACAGCCATGGAGAACTTAGAATAAATTTTCCACCTTCATGGACAGAGTTCTATGTGTGCTTCACATAATAAGTAACAAGCAAATTGCCCCTGGATAAAGGCATAAAAAAAAAAAGAAAGCAAACAACAAAATGTCATTGTTTTCCTCTATATTTCAATAAACAGGTCTAGTCAGCCCAGGTAATTGATATTAAATTCTATTAATTGAAATGTAAATTAATGGATAGACTATGAGTTGTTATATGTCATACAAACTATGCACCTACTTTTGGGTCAGCTTCAGAAGAAGTAGATTGCATAAAAAGCAAAGCTTGTGCAAGCAAAAATAATTATGAGGTTCTCAGAAATTAATGTTAAGAAAATGGTATAAATTTTAGAGCATCAAAATGGACTTAAACAGTCAGAGAGCAATTTAGGCTTCCTGCTTCCACTGCTTAAAAAGATTTTATGACTTCATGCATCATTGTCCTTTGTTGCTACAAGAAGTTCCTTACAATGTCATTGTCTTCTCACACAACACAGCACAGGGAGTATTAGCACTGGTGGGAAGGGAACACAGAGAAATGTGTGGGATGTGAAACTATCATCGTTGCAGACATATGAAAAACATCCACATTGCTCTTAGACAGGAAAGAGACTGTCATTATTGTAGAGTAATCAAAGTGGGGGATTTGAAAACTGATTATTAAAGCTCCTTCCACATTTATATATGAAGAGGAGTAAGCGCTCTAAGGAATATTGAATATCAATGTAATATTAATCTTACTGAAAATTAAGATTAAATAGGGGTTTTAGAAGCTTGAAAATTATCATTCTTCAATTATGCTACTATAGCTGTGGCACAGCACATTAGTAAACACAGAAAACCAATTTTTTGTTATAGTTCTTGGTGAAAAACAAAACAACAATAAACAAACAACATTATCATCTAGTAATTAAATGGTGACAGTAATCTCAAGGGTACACAATTCTTCAGGATACAGGATTTCTGCCAAGAATGCCTTTAGAGGCTTGTATAGCTTGATAGGTGTTGTTTTCCAAGCTGATGTGGTCTTTCACTGAACTTGTTTCATTAATTTGATGTGTGAGAAATAAATATTTGCTGTGCAATTAACTGGAGGTTATTATGGTCTAATGGAATTTTCCCATAGAAACAGATGATCAGCCCTATACATGCATAAAAAGTACATCAGCACTTGGTAGACAGAATGAAGCTGTGGGGAAAATATTGTTAAAGACACTTAATTGGGGAACAAAATTGTTTCATGCCTAGTAGTTTTGCATTTTCTTAACTAAAGCAGCAAAGACAAAAATAACAGTTACCTTGTGTGCAGCTGTGATATATGTCAAAGCCATACTGGTATGACCAGCAAAATTAACAAGCTTTTTAATAGAAAAATACATGTCCAAAGTCTCATATTTATCTTATATATATACAGTATTTTGTCAAACTAATTATGTCACTATATATTATGATAAATGAAAAGAAAGAAACAACTGAGAAATATGGGCTGAAAACCATAGTACTTAATAGCTAAGCAAATTTTTGTGAATGACATAGGAAAATAAATATATATATTTGCTATATTGCCCAGACTGCGAACCACTGGAAGTTTGACTCTTGTGCCTATACATTTTGCCACTTGTCAGCTGGGGGATTTGGTACTTTTGGTGATACTACAATACAAAGCCCAGCATTTAAACACTATGAAGCTTTAAGCAAAAATAAGTAAGTAAGTAAACAGAGAAAAAAATTAGCTAGTTAGTAAGTAATCAAGGAGAAGTCCTGGATGGTAACTTCTCCTAACACTTCATTTTAGAGCCAGCACATTTATATGAAGACTAATGCGACTTACTCAGAGTAAAAATGCATGAATAAAACTGACTGAGAAAATGTCAAGCAGATAAATTGTAATTATTTCTACCTCTAAAATATATAGAAATGTTCCATCTACATCAAGGTACTTTAGGCATTCAGTTAGGACTTATGGTGCACCTTTTTAATTCTCCACACACCATCCTGTATTTTACATTCATTCGTGGTTTCTTTGGTTAGCTGTGAGTCATTTTTGAGGTTTCCCAGACAGGTAGTTATGCTGAGTGTGGATAAAGAAGGAGGAACTGTACATCCAATTCAAGCAAAATAAAGCCAGAACAAAGGTTCTAGCATTGAATCTTCATAAATATTTTGCTGCAATAGGATGAAACACAAACATTTAAACCATAAATCTAAATATATGCATCTGAATAGAATTTTTGTGAATTCTGAAATTGTAATTTCTGAAACTTTTTTGAACATCTCCATCTTTTTTCAGGCCAGGCACCATCACAGAAAGTTCATTGAAAATCTCTAAATCCAAAAACTTATCATCCTTACCATAGAAAGAAAGTTCAAGCTTCATAGTATAATGAAAGTCATAGTCAGGAAAGAGATACCAAAGTACCTACCCCAAAATTTTTGAGAATTACTTTTGTCTAAAGACTCTCTTGTTAGTGCTGTAGGGAAAGTTAAAATGCCAAGCTATGTTAAAATATCTAACTTCTTAGGTCTAGAGCTGAACATCAGAGGTGGCATAATTCATAACCCAGCCAGGGTTTTATTTCCTTGGGAGTGCCCATTCAGTTTTTTGATGTTTCTGAAACAAGTCAGGAAAACCACATTAAACCTGAGCGCCAGGCAAGGTCCAGCAGTGAGCAGAAAAGTTGTTGATTCCTGGGTTAGATCTCTGTGAAGACACAAAAATCCACACACACTGATTCACCCTGACACTAAAATAAAGCAGTAATATCTCTCTAGTTTCTCTACAATCAGAATCTTAACCTGAAGTACCTTTGCAGAGCAAACAGAAACCTCACAGGAAAGCTCCATTATGCAAATGATGCAGCACAGGTACAAGGATGTGCAGATCTTAGAGGGCATCGGTGTATGAAACTGTTCTTGCTAAAAAGGAGAAACAGGAGATTAATTTGCTATGGTATTTGCCACCAAATATTACAGTTTATAGCCAATAACTGAACATGTTCACTGATAAAAGAGCTAATAGTAAAGTAGAGCAGATACTATATAGATGTTAAGAAACACAATGATTCCTCTTATAATAGTATTCTGCCACATGACAAAAATTAAAGCCTTTGTGATGTTATTCATTATGATGAAGTAGCCACAAATGCTGCCACTTAGGAAAAGAGGAACCCTTCTCCCTGGCTTTTTAAAAGAGCCTGTCCTGTCAACCATAAAAACATGAATGTTTAATGAAGTGATCAAAGGAAGGCTGCCTCATTTAAGGCCCTATGACTGTCGTGGTTTCTTTGGTTAGCTGTGAGTCATTTTTGAGGTTTCCCAGACAGGTTTTTATTTGCTTTCTGTTTACATTTGTTGCCATTGGGAACTATGTACCTCTCATATTGCAGCTGTTATCAGTAATAAAACAACAAAGCTGAGGGCAGGCTGTCAACTAAATAAGGCAGTAACAGGACTCATTAGAAACTTCTAGGGCAGTTGTGGTGATGATCAAGAAGACAAGAACTGTTCATATAAAATTATAAAATTAAAAAATAATCCTTGACGTTATTTTTAACTAATGACAATAACATTACACCAAAGAAGGTGATGTGCAGAGGGTAAAGGGGTGAACTGAAATTATGGGAAGTGCGTATTTTTTCAAAAGGCAGCTTTCTGGAGATTTTTTGCCACCTTCTGAATAGCTCTGGCAAGTCACCCTCATAAAACTTGCACTGGAAAAGAGAAGCTTGTCTTAAGACATGCCAAATTCTGACCAATTAACCCTGCCTTTCTCTGAAAGCCAAATTTTAAAACCCAGATCTCTAATGAAAAATAAGACTGCATGCCTAACTGTATTTGAAAAATTCGTTAACACTTTTCCAGTTTTACTACTGCAGAGAAAGACGGAAAACATAAAAAGACACTTTAGAACATTAAATTTACCCTTATATTACACTGCATAGACATATGACACAGACATATAAAACTCAATTTTCTATTTCTTTCTTCAGTAGTGGGCTCTGGTAATTTCAACATTTCCCATCACCCTCCATCATGCATAACACACTTCATAATCCCCTCACTTTACTTTCCTTCTACTTCTCATTTTCTAACTTTCTTCTTGCCTTTCCCTCTTCTTTCTACCTCTGCCTCTGTCCCCTCTCCCTTTCCCTCTCATCCCACATCTTCTTACTTCCTTTACATTTACCATAGACAAATAGACTTTCTAAAGACAAGTTCAGAAAAATAAAGTAGGAATTTATCACATAATAATAATGTTTTGCAATTTAATTAAGCTTCTACTTTTTCAGTGTACATGAATCTGCAATGAACTCTAAAATTAAAGAATCTCACGCAACAGACACCTTTTAACATTAAGGAATACAATCATGTGCCAGGAAAAATGTTCAAGATTTTGTCATTCAGAAGTCACTAAATCCATCTGTATTCACTATGCCTCTGATCCATTTTTTAACATGAAAATCAGAGTGCCTCCTTGACACTTTAACATACCTCCCATCAAATGATGCTGGGGTTTATACTATTTGACTAGAAATCAATAGTCTCATCTTGAGACTATCTGTAGTGGTTATCATTCTGCTGAGATTTTTAGAAATATGCTTAAAGAAAACTATTATGAACAGTACCTGCAAATTGACTTCTAAATGCATAAACCAAACAGAAAGATAGTTTTGTGAATCACTCTTTATTTATCATCTTATATTTTCATTAAAAAACCCTTACACACTGAACTAACAACAGAACTTAAATGAGCTTTATGTCAACAAGCTTGTACTAATGCTGATCTGACCTCTACTTATTAGGATCTGACAGCTGGGTTAGCAACCATCTGCCATCCTTTAGGGATGTCACCCAAGAGTGACGTTACTGATGCAACATGAGGGCCAATCGCTGCCATTTAAACAATACTTACAGTTCAGCAAACAGAGGCAGAATGAGAATGAACAAATCCTTCAGCTACTACACCTGCTGCAGAAAACTTGGCTCCTAATGTGACTGGCTATATAAAGCAAAAGTCCCTAAAATTCCTCACATTTCCCATGTGAGAAGAATATTTAATTCAAGTTTCAGATACAAAAATTACTATTTCATTCATCACTACAGCAACAAATTAAAGTACAATGACTATAAAATAATTACTTTTAAGAATTTCCTGTAACTCCTGTAACTTCCTAGAAGGACAACCTTTTCCTTTATGTTCAGTGCTCTGTCTTACAACATGGACATCTACTTTGTTACTGTTTCCTCTCTACTGCTATAAGCAAATGGGTATTTCTTAAATAGTGTCCCTGCCCCATTGAACATTGTTCTTTTGGGAGCTTAAACATTACAATTCATGTAAATGTAATGTTAACAGATTTAAACTTCCCATGTATAATATATTACATTATAATTGTTAATTTAACAGTTTCCGCCCAGCCCACAAAAATAAAACCAATGCAAAAATAAAATAAATTAAAATCAAGCAAAACATAATAACTCAAAGAACAATAACTCAAAAAAAACCCCACCAAACAAACTACATGAAACCAACCAACAAAAAAGCACAGAGAAATTTCACAGGGTTAAAAGACCCAGTGACATTGTTGGGGCTGCTGGAGCATGGCTTTTGTGAAAAGCCAGACTTTGACAAACTTCTACCTGAATACCTTTACAACTTTGTTCAAGTAGAGGTTACCTATAATCTTCAGATGTCTTTGTAACACTTAAATGACAACACACCAAGAATATCAAAAGGTTTCTCTCTGACATTGTATAAGTAAATGAGAGGATGCAGCTGCTGGTCTGACACCCCTAGAAATCTACAGAATGAAAAAAAAAAAACTTATCACTCCTCCATCTTTATAAAAGGTAAATTGAGACTCAAATGTTTAAATGGTTCAGTAAAGATTATGTACTGATTTGAGCCTTATTGTTATTTGCTTATAATGAAATGTTTCTAGATACCCTCCACAGCTAATTATCCACCATTTTTCCAATAATAATCTGATTAAATGAACAAGAATAAAATTAGATGTTTCAATAAGTGTAAACCTCTAGATCTAGTTCAAGATACATGGTAAATAAAAACAAATTAAACAATGCAATGTGCTTATCTTAATGTAAATATGGTACAGGTGACAGAACTGGCTGGAAATGTGAAGTTGTGTATCATTAATATTAGGTTTATGTTTTCAAAAAACAGTATAATTAAAAAGCTAATGATATAAGAGACCAGAGTAAGAGAATTACGTGCAATTCCATTACTTTTCCCACATATGATTGCTCAAAAAGGGCATAATGATGATATTAAAAGTACGAAAGGGAATTAAAACAGAGGAGAAAGATGAGGGAAACAGAAATGACAGGTTGCCTACATTCATCTTTCCCAACCTCCTCAATCATCCTTCACATGATTACCTTACTTTCTATTGAATAGGTAACGTTATTATTAAATTTTATTGAAGAGAATTTCAATAATGCTCTAACTTCCTTGTCAAAAGCAGGATTTGAAAACATCAGAAGAATCTTTGCCTTATCTTCTAAAGCATATAGAAAAAAAACCAGATGCTGACAGTGATTTTCTACTTGTGGAAAATGTATGTGTGCTCACAGAACAGAGGTATCAAAACAGACATTCATCATTACTTCTTCCTTCAAGGTTCACCTACTGTGACTGCTCTCAAAGGCTCAAAAATGGTATCAACTCTGATTCTCAAACTACCTGCCTACTGTAGAACTAGCCAATATCACATAAGAGAGTTCTAGATATTCAGATTTCTGGTGGATGGAAACCCCACTAGACTAGCAATAGAAAGCATCTATTTTCTGTGGGTTTTTCTGAGCCTTAAAAAACAAACAAAACAATCAATCATACAAATAAACAAACAAGCAACCCCCCCAAAACAACAAAAAAAACTAACAAAGACCCCCCCCCACACTAAGAAAACTAATTAAAAAGAGGAAGTTTTATCTCTGCAGTCACTATCAGTGATATAACACACACAGCATTTTCACTGTCTCAGTTTGACAGTGTAACACATAAAACAATTGCTGTGTAATGTAACAACCAACTATTTTTCAGTTCAATCCCATGTGTGTATAAGAATCTGAATTACCACTCTTGCAATCCCATATTTCTCTGATTGCTGCTGGCTTCTCCACAGGGATAGAAAACAGTCATTTAGTTGCCTCATTGTTAACACCTATGATTGCTGCTGCCTGAGAACAAGTATGTTGGGCTGCTGAAAAAGCTGTACTATCTTTGAGGTCCTTACTCTTAGATGGTCATTAATTGCTGGATGAAGGTAAAAGCTGGCCAGCACTGTGACCTAGATAAATTTATTAAAGACACAAAGGTGGGCTGGAGATTGGAACTAGATGATCTCTAAGGTCCCTTCCAACCTTAAACATTCTACAAATGTATAATATAATCATTTTTATATCACCCTGCCAATATAAAAAAATATTCTTAGGAATCACAGCCTTTTTTCTCATACAGTAAAGCAATCCTCATTAGGGCATTCAAATTGCTCATCTGTAAAAACATTAATGATTTTTATAGGAAACATTCTATCTAGGAGCTGTAGACTGTTTTCTGTGAAGGACAATAAGCAGGTGGAATTAAGGCCTTTTTATTATGTATTGACATTTTTTATGGGCCTATATCTACTCCTTCTTTCAGCAGAAAATTTAAAATATACTTATAGATATATATATATACACAGATATATATATATATAATACACATATACATATATATATATATATAAAATATGTAGGTGTTCAGACTGAAATTTCTAAATTCCCTGGAATTACAGTTGAAGCCAGTGTAAGAAACCACACAGGACTGACATGACAGAAAACCTACATGTGATTGTATTTATATATTAGTATGTCTTTAATATCATCACAGACCCAATTCTTATTTTCATCAT